AGCGAACAAATCAAAGCAATGGATTTGAATTGACACTTCATCGATTACCATGAAATGAATCGCTTCTTTTAATTCATGTTTTGAACAAGCAACAAATTTTGTGATGCAATATTTTCTAAGAGAGTGGAAATTATTAGTGGTTAAGCAGCAAAATGGATAGAAAGAAAAAACAATGTTGAAATACAGAATAAAAACATTAGCGATTAAATTATTATTATTATTAGATATGATAGAAAAATAACAAAGGACACAAAATTGATTTCATTCAACACTTTCATGAGATGTACCCCGTCACAAGAACAAACAATTCAATTTTATTTACTTAGTTGAACCATGAGTGAGACTGTAACATAAGAAACGAAAATCGCTTGAATAAAGAACAACCTTAAAAGTGAAAACGAAACATTATCCATATGCATTTTATTTTCCTTTTCCATTTCAGTTTTCAGTATTTGGATAGATTTATTCTATAGATGACGTTCCAGCTGGGATTGAAACATTTTGATTTGGTGACTTTCAGTCAAGCTGACGACACTTCAGTGCAAACATCATTTGAGCGCTCGCAGCGCCACGAACTCTCGTATCATTTTGTATTGACTTTTCGATAGTTCATGAGTTCGCCGTAGACTTCGTCAAAACGTGTCGTCCCTTTGCTTTCAGTAGAGAAAACATTTTGTGTTGTTGTGAATTCAAGATAAATTTGTTCATGATGAATAAATGAATGTCCGAGAATGAAAACGCAACTTCTATTCACAACACATATAAGTGAAACAAAAATAAAAAATTTATTGAAATGAAACAACAAAATCGAATTTTTTCAAAGTGTAACAACAAAAAAGATTTTTTTAAAGTGTAACATCGGTATGTTGTTACACTTACTACAAGAAGAAGAAGTTGCGTTTTCATTCTCGGACATTCAAATAAAAATGAAACGAATGTAAGGAATGAGGGATTCAAACCATCGCTTCAGTGCGTTCCAATGTGACGATATTATTGTTGCGATTCATTCGCCATTTGCCATCGCAAGCTGCTCTAATTTGTTCATCAAGAGTATGGTCAGCAAAAATAGCAAAACTTCTCAAAAATTCCATATGCGACAATAGGAGCGGTAATTCGTCTATATTGTCACTAATCGATCTAAAGTAGATAATGTCTTTTAAATATGGTAACATATTCTGCAATTGACCTGTCTCTATAACGGAAAGTACAGCATACATATCGAACGTTAATTTTTCAATCGTTCGATTTTCATTGATAAACGTTAGAAAGATTTCAGGAGTTGAAAAATAACTCTCGATTTCGAATTCTTTTAATTGGCTGAATGAAAAGGGAATTTTTGGTACACGATCCCATTCATCATAACAATATTTGAATTTTTTAACATTTGGCAAATATATCGAACTGTCAGACGGTATTTTTTTCCCTATCCATTTAGTATCAAGACTTTCAATAGATTGTAGATAGTGTTCACTAATCCTTTTGAACACATCGAAATCTTTCATACCGATCTTAAAACTGCGTAAATTTGAATTTAATCGCAAAATATCAGTAACACTATCAGAAAGTGGGACATTCCGATTGAATTCCAAATGTTGTAAATTTGGAAAATACTCCGACACAACTGGAAAAGTATCATCAATACAAAATCCTAAATTCAAGCGATTCACATTTGGAAAAATTCTACTCAAATACTTTTCTTCCAGTCCGGATGAATATCTGATTGTTAGGTCTTCAATATTTTTAAATGGTATCTTGAAGCCTTCAAATCCTAGCGTTTGATCAAATGAAGCCTTTTTCAAAGACTCAGTGCAAAACTCGCATATGTAGCTCATAATGCGGTTATAATTTGTGAATTGATTATTGTTAAAATTTTCACAGTAACAAAATTCCAGCTCAGTTATCATTCCACCAAAGCATCGTATCATTTGAAAGATGGTGTTTAAATCGACGATCGTTATATCTTTATGTAAATATTTCGGATCTTCGTTTCTTTTCGTAGTTATTTTCGCATTGTAGCTTCGAAATCCCGTTAGATCAATTAAGACTGATCCTCCAGCATAATTCCAAACGAATGGCATACGAGTAGCCAATTTGAGGTATGCATTAGAGTCGGCAACATTAAGCAGGTCTTCCAAAGACAAATGAATGAAGATTTGTTCCAAGCAAAATTGATTGACATCAGTGATTTTTGTTTCGATATTTAAATCAGTGGTCTCATCTGTTCGTCTTTTTTTGGGTTGACCATCTCCAGTTTCCATACACTTTCTTTTCAAATCACCTTTTTCGTCAGCCATTTCAAATAGAACCATACAGTGAGCTGCAAAGAAGAAAACAAGATAATGAATATGCATGCATTGTAAGTGTGTCCAGCAATATGGAGAACAACAGCGAACAAAGTAAGGACAGTAGAGCAAAAGTAAAAAAAAAAACAGTTAAATCTCATTTCCCTAGCAACAAATAATTTGATTTTATAGTTTTGATGCATCACAAATGGAAATTGTAACTTGTTCAGATGTGAATAAATTTGCATACGAATACTCACAAAAAATAATTGTTTATCACTGAATTGAAAACGACAAGAATAAAGTGATTTTCTTGAATAAAACGGTAACGGAATGTAACACTTTTTTGAAATCACTGCAAACGTTGTTTCGGCTTCAAAGTTGGTTGGTTAATGACATGATCATCAACTGATAGTTTGGGCTTTGGTTTGATAGTAACAGTTGTGTCCTAATTTACCGTAGATGTAAAATACAGGATTATAAAAATCGTATGTAAAATATTGCACTCCATAAAATACTTTAGCAGTTGAAAAAATACAGTACCTAGCATGTACCTACCTTAATCTCCATACGCTTCCAAATGCGAATTAAATCCTTAGCAAATTAAGTTTGATGTATTCTGAGGTCAGAATTGGCCGGACTGACGGTGTAGACTCGGTCAAAGTGTTTTAGATCAAACTTTTTGCTAATAGATTTGCATGGAGATTAAATGTGAGAGAAATCATAGTTATAGCGCTTATTTGCCACACGTTTGAAATAAATGTAACGCTCATATCAGGTACAGTATTTTTTCAACTGCTAAAGTATTTCATTGAGCTCTATACTTTACATACGATGTTTATAATCCTGCATTTCACATCTACGGCCAATTAGGACACCACTGTTACTGTCAAATCAAATCCCGAACTATCAGTTGATGATCATGTCATTAACCAACCAACTTTGAAGCCGAAACAACGTTTGCAGTGATTTCAAAAAAGTGTTACATTCCGTTACCGTTTTATTCAAGAAAATCACTTTATTCTTGTCGTTTTCAATTCAGTGATAAACTATTATTTTTTGTGAGTATTCGTATGCAAATTTATTCACATCTGACAAAGTCGCAATTTCCATTTGTGATGCATCAAAACTATAAAATCAAATTATTTGTTGCTAGGGAAATGAGATTTAACTGTTTTTTTTTTTACTTTTGCTCTACTGTCCTTACTTTGTTCGCTGTTGTTCTCCATATTGCTGGACACACTTACAATGCATGCATATTCATTATCTTGTTTTCTTCTTTGCAGCTCACTGTATGGTTCTATTTGAAATGGCTGACGAAAAAGGTGATTTGAAAAGAAAGTGTATGGAAACTGGAGATGGTCAACCCAAAAAAAGACGAACAGATGAGACCACTGATTTAAATATCGAAACAAAAATCACTGATGTCAATCAATTTTGCTTGGAACAAATCTTCATTCATTTGTCTTTGGAAGACCTGCTTAATGTTGCCGACTCTAATGCATACCTCAAATTGGCTACTCGTATGCCATTCGTTTGGAATTATGCTGGAGGATCAGTCTTAATTGATCTAACGGGATTTCGAAGCTACAATGCGAAAATAACTACGAAAAGAAACGAAGATCCGAAATATTTACATAAAGATATAACGATCGTCGATTTAAACACCATCTTTCAAATGATACGATGCTTTGGTGGAATGATAACTGAGCTGGAATTTTGTTACTGTGAAAATTTTAACAATAATCAATTCACAAATTATAACCGCATTATGAGCTACATATGCGAGTTTTGCACTGAGTCTTTGAAAAAGGCTTCATTTGATCAAACGCTAGGATTTGAAGGCTTCAAGATACCATTTAAAAATATTGAAGACCTAACAATCAGATATTCATCCGGACTGGAAGAAAAGTATTTGAGTAGAATTTTTCCAAATGTGAATCGCTTGAATTTAGGATTTTGTATTGATGATACTTTTCCAGTTGTGTCGGAGTATTTTCCAAATTTACAACATTTGGAATTCAATCGGAATGTCCCACTTTCTGATAGTGTTACTGATATTTTGCGATTAAATTCAAATTTACGCAGTTTTAAGATCGGTATGAAAGATTTCGATGTGTTCAAAAGGATTAGTGAACACTATCTACAATCTATTGAAAGTCTTGATACTAAATGGATAGGGAAAAAAATACCGTCTGACAGTTCGATATATTTGCCAAATGTTAAAAAATTCAAATATTGTTATGATGAATGGGATCGTGTACCAAAAATTCCCTTTTCATTCAGCCAATTAAAAGAATTCGAAATCGAGAGTTATTTTTCAACTCCTGAAATCTTTCTAACGTTTATCAATGAAAATCGAACGATTGAAAAATTAACGTTCGATATGTATGCTGTACTTTCCGTTATAGAGACAGGTCAATTGCAGAATATGTTACCATATTTAAAAGACATTATCTACTTTAGATCGATTAGTGACAATATAGACGAATTACCGCTCCTATTGTCGCATATGGAATTTTTGAGAAGTTTTGCTATTTTTGCTGACCATACTCTTGATGAACAAATTAGAGCAGCTTGCGATGGCAAATGGCGAATGAATCGCAACAATAATATCGTCACATTGGAACGCACTGAAGCGATGGTTTGAATCCCTCATTCCTTACATTCGTTTCATTTTTATTTGAATGTCCGAGAATGAAAACGCAACTTCTTCTTCTTGTAGTAAGTGTAACAACATACCGATGTTACACTTTAAAAAAATCTTTTTTGTTGTTACACTTTGAAAAAATTCGATTTTGTTGTTTCATTTCAATAAATTTTTTATTTTTGTTTCACTTATATGTGTTGTGAATAGAAGTTGCGTTTTCATTCTCGGACATTCATTTATTCATCATGAACAAATTTATCTTGAATTCACAACAACACAAAATGTTTTCTCTACTGAAAGTCACCAAATCAAAATGTTTCAATCCCAGCTGGAACGTCATCTATAGAATAAATCTATCCAAATACTGAAAACTGAAATGGAAAAGGAAAATAAAATGCATATGGATAATGTTTCGTTTTCACTTTTAAGGTTGTTCTTTATTCAAGCGATTTTCGTTTCTTATGTTACAGTCTCACTCATGGTTCAACTAAGTAAATAAAATTGAATTGTTTGTTCTTGTGACGGGGTACATCTCATGAAAGTGTTGAATGAAATCAATTTTGTGTCCTTTGTTATTTTTCTATCATATCTAATAATAATAATAATTTAATCGCTAATGTTTTTATTCTGTATTTCAACATTGTTTTTTCTTTCTATCCATTTTGCTGCTTAACCACTAATAATTTCCACTCTCTTAGAAAATATTGCATCACAAAATTTGTTGCTTGTTCAAAACATGAATTAAAAGAAGCGATTCATTTCATGGTAATCGATGAAGTGTCAATTCAAATCCATTGCTTTGATTTGTTCGCTATATTTTTTCTTCACATTGCTTGTTTCTTCTTCTACTTGTGTCGTGAAGCGAGAAGAGTAGCATAAATCAAAATCACATTTGATCAACAATTATGACCGTACTTTTGATGAACAAATTAAGATTTCCGACCACTACAATAGCCGTAGGTGGTTCTACAATTAATTCTGGGTTACTAGAATTAATAAAACAGTTTGGACCAGTTTTGGAGCATTTTTTCTCCCTACAAAAACAAAACACTGCTGTTGTCAAATAAGTTGTTGAAAATATCAAGAATCGGACGACTGATTTGAATTCTACATTTTTTCTACAATTTTATGGACCCTAGAAACAATAGAAAAAAGATTTAGTTTGTGGAAAGTTCGATTTGGGGCCAAGATTTGAGTATTACCGATTTTG